GGTATGAGACTGGATGTGTGTACACGGGTATGAGACTGGATGTGTGTACACGGGTATGAGACTAGATGTGTGCACATGAGTATGAGACTGGATGTGTGTACACGGGTATGAGACTGTATGTGTGCACACGGGTATGAGACCGGATATGTGCACACGGGTATGAGACTGGATGTGTGTACACGGGTATGAGACTGTATGTGTGCACACGGGTATGAGACCGGATATGTGCACACGGGTATGAGACCGGATGTGTGTACACGGGTATGAGACTGTATGTGTGTACACGGGTATGGACTGGATGTGTGTACACGGGTATGGACTGGATGTGTGTGCACACGGGTATGAGACTGTATGTGTGTACACATGTGTATTGCAATGTAAAGGCATCATCTGATTTCTATAAAGTAATCCATCCCTTAAAACTTGTCTTTTTAAAGGCAGCACAGACTAAAGACCAACTGCTGCTTGCCCTGGTCTGGACGTTGACTTTGACAAAGTCCTGGTTGTGTCTCTGTCCTCCCACGATCTTTAGCAGGGCAGGTTTCCACGCTGTGCTCTGGGTTTCCTAGAATCACAGATTGAGGCCAGGAGGGTTGGCACAGCAGCTCTACTAAGGAGGCCAGTCTGGCAGGGCCTGGAATCAGCTGGCTGGTTCTGAGCCTGCTCTCCCACCACAGTGGTGATACTGTCCCTTAACTCTCAGTGTTCAGTTTCTCCAAAAGTTGATTATTATTTTCAACTTGTTTTTGTCCCTACTAGAGTGTGAATTCTTTGAAGGTGCATTACCTCATGGTCTTTACCAATTATTTTGGTTTTATAATAAGTAAAAATATCATTAGTGATATTCATATATGAAATATGAAATACCCTTTGATATTGGGCACCCTTCATCAATTTCACGGTACTAAGAATGGCATGTGGTACATAATCCCCCAGTCACAGGACAGAGTAAATGAATGAATCCATGACCAGAAGCAGTTACTCTTTAGCTTGTGGATGACATTTTGGGGAGCTCTTGGAGGGCAGAGCTTTGGAGGAGACTTTGGCTATGGCTTTATATAAATCTTGCACAATCCAAATGAGATTTCATGATTATCGTCACCTCCCTTTCACAGATGAGGAAGCCAGGCATTAGGCAGCTCCTGCTCTCGGGGGCAGCGTCAGGACTGCACTTACCCTCCTGGCCTCTGTCTCTTTCCAAAGCCTCTCTTTCCTTTCCTGGGATGCTCATGTCTCCAAGGACCAAACCTCAAGAATTACTGGTTTGCAATATGCTTGTCATGTGTTGGGTATGTTAACAAAAAATAAATCACACAGTTTATAAATTTGGAAGAGAGGTATTTCAGGGGGGGTTGCAAGCTGCAGTGGGCATCACAGCGGGCACCACAGCCTGAAGCTGGACACCAAGAGCCAGCACTTTGAGGGAAGGTAGGGGGGGAACCGGGCAGCAGGCTGAGCAGGTGACTGAGTGTCCACGCTCACTGTGTGTGTCCTGCAAGGGGCCCGTTCCTGTTGAGCACATGTATGTATTATATACATCTCTCCTTTACTTTGGGATGGAGATTTAACATTTCATGGCATTAAAGGTAGGCACTGTATGTCAAATGTAAAACAGGGGCATGAAGTCACTCAAGTACATAGCCTCTATAAACCAGCCAGAATCAGTCCACGGCCGGTGATTTTCTTCTCAGGAGGAAGTGACTGAAATTAGCGTCTTGTCCAATCAAAGCTGTAGTTGTGGCTTGTGGGACAGGGGAGGTGCGAGGGGTCAGTGAGTGTCTGGGATGAGCTGTAGTTGTCTCAGAGTTACTTATCTCCAGGCTGGGGTTTGTTTAGCTGTAGGAGAAAAAGAAAACCCTCGTGGCCGTTAGAACATAGTTTATTATCAAAGCATAGGGTGTGTGACTTAACCACTGCCTGGCATGGCTTTAGGTCCTGCTTATAATTTGGTATCTTATTGCCACAAAGAGTCTGTCCTTCCAGTCTCATGATCTCTATTGTAACATTAACGCTGGTCAGCTGTTGTGTCAAATCACAAAATGGAGGGGGCGTAATGAGGTGTGTCCAACCTCCTGTCCCCTCCAACCAGGAACTTGTTTCTAAGGTTTCTCTGGGGTCTCCTTGGCCAAGATGGGGTTCATTCAGTCACTTGAGGGGCTGAGAATTTTATTCCTAGTTTATAGGTGAAACAGAAATGCAGGCTCCAACTAGAAAGCAAAGACTTTAACTGATTGGAAGTTAGTGGCATAATTATCTACCATCAACTGTGTGGGCGGCTGGTCCCCAAACCTGGGCCACTCAGTGAAGCTGCCTAGAGATTTTGACATTCAGTATCAGACTCATTACTGACAACTTGTTGGCATGATCTCCCACTACAGCATATCTCTGGAGGGGGCCAGAACCCCACAGAAGATAAAAGAGACCCAACCAAACCCAGAGGCAGAATCCTGGCCACAGAGCACTTTATTTCCTTGCATTTTGCTCCGACTCACATTCACCAAACACTCCTACCAGATACTTCACCCAGAGCAGTGGAGTGTCCTTATCCATGTCAATTACAGTCTGTAAAGTTGAATACTGAATCATTGATCATGTGGGGAATATAGGACCACGCTCCTTTAAGTCTCTGATCACAGTATTTTCCCCAACCTTGTTGTCGGTGTGTTTCTGTTTAGACGCCTTATGCAACATACATTGTTGATTCATTAACATTGAACTTGCAGCCGGCTGCACTGTAACTCCTGCCTGAGCAAAGCTTGTCTAACACATGATTTTCCCCATCAGGCACAGTGCAGCCTTCTTACACTTAGGAACACTTGATAGTCCAGTACTTGGGGCTATTATCAGCAGTGAAATCATCAACAAAAAGCACAAAAATGCAAAAACATGGCACTGAAGAGACCACAAAAAGGACACTTGTTACAGCAGGAGAAGTGGGATAAGAAGGCAGAGTGTCACCTTATTTGGCCTCTGCTGGGAACCTGTGGGTAGGATGACTCAAAAGTTTTGTTGCTCTGTCTGAGAATGAATGAGAAAGCACCACGGCTGTTGACTTTGGGGATACCAATAAATATTAGTGCATAAGTGAATTCCAAACATGGTACCTGTGCATCATGAGGGCTGACTGCAGACTGGGCCTACTGCAGTAGTTTGTGAGGGGCTAGGGTTGAGGTCAGAACCAGGGCTTGTTGATTTTTGTAATGCCCAGTAAATGCTTGAGCGTACATGTTTACTGAATAGGTGAACTGATGAATGAATGGATGGATAGATGAATGGATGGATGGATGGATGGATGGATGGATGGGTGGCTGGATGGATGGGATGCCCATCTCTAGCCCCACACCCTCCAGTGAGCACAGCTGTGACCAGCCTCCTCATTTACTGTTTCGATTGGCTTCTTCCATCCCAACCTCACACCACACCCATCTCCTTAGGCCAGACTGAATCCTAGCTCCTGTCCATAGCCTCTTCTGAGGGGTCTCCCGGGTTCTTTCCTTTTTAAGACTTAAGCTTCCTCTAAGGCAGTGATTTTTCAACCTTTTTTATCTAACAGAATGTTTGAACCCATAGTTAAACTTTCATGGCACACTTTAACTATGTTGATCAAAAAAAAAAAAAAAGAATAAACTTACTGTGCTTTGAACTTCTTTTAAAAATAATTTAACTAATGATTTTTAAACATTCTCATGGCACACCCGCTGAAAATCACTGCCCCATAGGCTGTGTCTCCATTACCCAGGCTCAGTCACTTCTTCCTCCCCACGGTATCTCTCACCCCGGCTGTTTGTTCTTGGGCCTGGCCGCCGTGTGCAGCTGCGGAGTGCCCATCAGATCTGTTTGTGGTTAATGCCCAGGAATCCTGGGCACCAAAGCAGGAAAGTGAAACCACCACGGGCTGATTTTCCCTCCTTCTCTCTTTCAACAGGAAAACACATTGGAAGGAAGAGAAGTCCCAACGAAGAAAGATATTAGATCAATTCTGTGATTGTTCTTTTGATCAGTTCAGGTCTGTAATAAATGCCTTACTTTTTCCTGCAAGACTCTGGCTTTCATTGCCCAATTTCACATAAGCATGAGAGTTTTAGCTGAGAAATGAATGGCCTGAGAAGATTGGTGTTAGCTAAGGATTTTAGGAGTGAAGGACTCACAAAGTGACTGTATTCAACATGTTTTAGATCCATTGATGGTGATTGTAAATTTCTAGTGATTAAAAAGACTATCAGTCCTGAGCAAGTCAGTATCAGAAGAGTTCTGTCTTCCCTTTTACATTTAATTTTAGTTTCAAAAAATTGTCTGTGGTGCTCAGGGCGCTTTTAGGGCAGTATGACACTGAGATGGTGGATACACGGTATTATACGCTTGTCAAAATCTACAGAATGTACAACATCAAGAGTGAGCCCTAATGCAAGTGTACCATTTGGTTCATCCATCACCACAAATGTGCCACACGGGGGGGACAGCGCTACTAAGAGGAAACCGTGTGGGGTGAGGCGAACGATGGAGACGGAGTGTATGGGAACTCTCTCTACTTGCTGCTCATGTTTTTAAAATCCAGCGTTGCTCTGAAAAATAAAGATAATTAATAAATAATTATCTGGTGGTCACAGAGTGGCAGTCACGGTCCCCAGGGAGATGCTGTGTTGCTAATTTTCCTTCAGGTTTCTTGGTCTGGGAAGTTGGTAGCAAAGATCACTTCTGTCAAAGCAGGTACCACCAGGAAAGTTTCCAAGGAGCTGGGGTTCACGTTCTCCAGTTCACTCATTTGGGAATGTGCCCCCGTTGGCTGCGTTTCCTGGAGCCCGGCCTGCACAGGAGTAGTGAGACAGTTTGAGCAGGTGAGAATCCCCAAACCCCATCATGGCCTCTCACCAGGACTGAGCCCATATGAGCCCTTTTACCTTCGGCTAGCTCATCGGGGACCCCTGAAAAGTATTTTCTGGATGAATGATGCACAAAGTGATTACCAGCCATGTGCGCCTAGATGCAGACAGGACTGCTCAATCCTGCTCCACTAGCAAACTACTGTACGTACTACAGCATTAGGGTGTCTGATGAGGCTGGTCCCTGCCTCATCCCAGTTCTCCTATTTCTTTTTTTAAGTCCTATATTCTCACTTTATTTCAACTATAAGATCCCAAATACATTTGGGATCAGGTGAGCCAACACCATCAGCAACAAAAAATTATTGGCATTTTGAATCGAATTAATTGCATCAAATTTATCAGTTAATTTGGAAAAATTGACATCTTCATATTTTTGAGATTTGCTCTCCAGCACTAAGATACACATTTCCCTTCACTGAAGTCTTCTTTTATATCCATCAGTAGAGTTAAAGAATTTACTCATATGTGTTCTGCATGTTTCTTTTAAAATTTGTTTGCATAATTTGTTTTATTGATATTATGAATGGAATCCTTTGTCATTATATTTTATGATATAAAATTGACTAACACATATTAGGTTTCTGGCTTGTCTTTCTGCTGACTTGTCATAGTGCTGCTAATAGGTTTCCAGGTGGTACTCTTGAATATCCCATCTGTACAACTATAATTTTTACAAATAATATTAATTTTACATTCTTTCCATTTTTAAACGTTGCTTCTTTCCTTGTCCTATTTTATGTGATAAGTGTATTCTAGCAGGGTTAAACAACAGTAGAAAGACATGCATCTTCATCTTGTTCCTGACTTTGCCAGCAGTCTGAGGAGCATCTTAGCGTTTCACCATTAAGTACCATGCTGCCTTCTGGCTTAGTGTAAGGGGTGTCTAAGTTTGTAATCATCTTGAGGTTACCTATCCTTCCACTATTAAGAGCTTATAACATAAATGTATATTTGTCAAATGTCTTGAAATGGTCTTTATTTTTTCTTTGATGACAAAATGTGGTGAATTATGTTAATAAACCAACAGTATCAAACCATCTTTGCCTTCTTGAAACAACCCCAGTTGGTCATGGCTTACTGCTCTCTAAATATGCCACAGTTTCATTCAGGCTGTTTATGTCAGCATCCCCAAGTGGTAGCAATCTATAATTTATTTTTGTTCGTCTTTATTTGGTTTTGGTATCAGTGTTGTAAAATCTCTTCTATCTTTCTACAGAGTTCTCCTCCTGCACCACCAACCTCCAATACTCTGGTCTAATAAAGAATCTACTTTTCAGGGTGGCACCTGTGGCTCAAAGGAGTAGGGTGCCAACCCCATATACTAGAGGTGGTGGGTTCAATCCTGGCCCTGGCCAAAAAAAAACTGCAAAAAAAAAAAAAAAGAATGAAAGAAAAAGTGAAAAAAAGAATCTACTTTTCAACATCTATGGAGGGCAGGTGTGACTCCTTTTATGAATAGTATAGAATATTAACTACATATAAGTTAATTCATACATTGATTCCGATGTTGATGTTTTTATAATGACCCATCACCATCAACGTGCACGGCTACCAGGCCACAGACTAGCCCATGCTTCTAAGCAAGAGTAGAAAAGGGGTTCATCGGCTGTGGCAGCAACAGACACCTTGTGAGAGGTGCAGCCTGGACCATGGGAACCACACACCCTGCACCCTGTGCCAAGCCTGTTTCTAAGAACAAACATGATCTAATTCCTTTAGGCTAAAATTCACATGGGTAATTTTCTATTAAAACAAAGAGACCTTATGGCTTTTTTTTTTTTTTTTTTGAGTGGTGCACACTTGTGGGGCTGAGGAACACAGTCCCTGCCAGGATTCTCTCTGCTCCAACTCTGCAGAAATCATGGAATAAGACAAACAGTGTCAAACCTTTCTTTAAAAATGTCACTGTGCCACCATAAGGCTTGCAGCAGAACAAGTTTGGGCCTCTCTCCAGATATAGGTGTGACTAGAGCCAACCTGTCTGGAGTGACTACTTTACTACAAAATCATTGGGCAGAGGCAAGCCTAACAGCGTTGCTTTATTGGGAGGCCCTGGGAACACACATGCCTTTATAAATGTACAGTGTTTACCCTCCTATCCCTTCAAAGCTGGGATTAAAAATTGCCAAAGTTCAAATATTTAGTGTTCCTCCTTGTTTTCCCTCCTGGGACTGTCTCGGCGTGACCTGGCTTGGTGTCAGCACAGTGCACACCACACAGTTCCTCCCTCACCTGGGTGGCTGGGGGTGGTCAGTTCTTATCCCCTCTGGGGCCACTTCAGCCCAGATGGCCCTTGGTGTCCTCCCTAAGTCTGGGGACAGCTTTCTAGGGTGATTCTGTTCTGATTCTGACAAGAGATTTAATTTTTAGCATGAGAATAATTTTATACGCTTTTCATAATATGTTTTCTCATTTCTTCAGTGACTATGGGGGAACTAGGGAATATACTAACAAAATATTAGCAAATCATATCCAACAGTGTGTAAAAATGATTATATGCTATGACCAAGTGTGACTTATCCCAGCTATGAAGGATATGCACAAATATTTATAAGAAGTTTATTTATTATAAACCTGGAAACAATCAAGGTGTCCTCCAGTGGATGAATGGATAAAGAAACTACAGCGTATCCAGACAAGGGAATATTATTCAGTCCTAAAAAGGATGAATGATGGAGTCATGAAAACATGGAGAAAACTTAAATGTATGTTACCAAGTGGCAGAGCCAATCTGAAAGCTATATACTCTATGATTCCAACCATATGACAATCTGGAAATAGCCAAACCATTGAAACAATTGAAATATCACTGGTTGTCAGGGGTTCGGGGAAGGTAGAGCATTGGGAATTTTTAGGATAGTATTATTATTTTGGGTGATACTACAATGCTGGATGAATGTCACCAGACATTTGTCTACACCTACAGACTGTAGAACATCGAGAGTAAACCCCAATGTAAGCAATGCATTTCGGGTGATAATGATATGTCAATGTAGGTTCCTTGGTTGTAACAAACCCACAACTCTGGTGGGGGATGTTGACGACAGGGAAGCCTGTGGATGTACAGGGTAGGTAGTGTACAGGTGGTCTGCTTTCTGTTCAATTTTACTATGAACTTAAAACTTGTCTGAAAAATAAAGCTTATTGATTAAAATAAAAGTACCTGAACCAATGACATATATGTTGTATTTTGGTATTTGTAACTGTATTGGTTTCCTATTGATGCTAAACAAATTACCACTAATTCAGTGGGTTAAAATAACACAAATTTATTGTCTTTGTGGTTCTGTAGGACAGAAGTCTGAAATGGGTCTCAATGAGTTAAATCAAGATGTTAGTAGGACTGTGATCCTTTTGGAGGTTCCAGGGGAGAACCTGCCTCCTTGCCGTTTCCAGATCCCAGAGTCTGCCTGCATTCCTTGGCTTATGGCCTATCTTCTGTCATCACAATGCAAAACTCCAGCCTCCACTCCTATCACCACAAGGCCTTCTCTCTGACTCTGACTCTCTTTTCTCCCTCTTATAAGGACCCTTATGATTACATTGGATCCAAGTGGATAATCCAGAATAATCACCCCATCTTGACATTCCTAACTTAATAACACCTGCAAAATCCCTTTTACTGTGTAAAGTACTGGCTATGAACTGGATGGTGTTCCCCCAAAACTCAGATGTTGAAACCCTGATTCCTTGTCGCAGAATGTGACTGTATTTGGAGGTAGAGCCTTGAAAGAAGTAACTAAAATAAAGTGAGGTCATATCCAATACGACTTAATGCCTTATAAGAAGAAGAGATTAGGACACAGAGATGCACAGAGGAAAGCTCACATGCAGACAGAGAAAACGGCATCGGCAGGCCCGGGACAGAGACCCCAGAAGAATCCAAACCTCAAGACAACTTTGTCTTGGACTTTTTGTCTCCACAACTTTAAGTAAACAAATTTCTGTTCTTTAAAGCACCTAGGCTGTGGTATTTTTTATGGCAATCCAAGCAAACTAATAAAGTAATGGATTCATGAATTCTTTGGATGAGAACGTGGGCATCTTTGGGGCCAGGAGGAGGCATTATTCAGCCTACCACAACCACCACAATCAAACCATCCAAATAGCTACATTTATTCAGGGCTGCAAGCCAGGCAGGCTCTTTGCATGAAT